AGAGACATAGAGACAGAAAGCGAGAAATCACCCCCCAGGGGGGATGGTCACGCCGCAATCCCTTCTCCTCCATTCTCCTCTTGGGATCTTGGGCACGCACGCACACGCGCCCGGCGTGAGTTTTAAGCCACCGGGTCCGGGACACGAACCGCGGTCGACTACGTGGGAGTCCAGCGACATAGCCATTACGCTAACTGCTGGTTCCCATGGCCAGATGCAGTTTTAGTCCCAGACCCGGCAGCTTGAAAATCACACAGCTTGTGCAGGCCCAATGGAGGAGGGACTGCAGCTCGGCCATGCCCCTGGGGGTTGGTTTCTCACTTTCCCTCTCACCGTCTCTATCTCTCCCTCTCTCTGAGGAACACATGTGCCCTAAGGCAAAAACCTAATAAAAATAAATAAATAGGGGACCAGCAGGTGGCATGGTGGTTAAGATGCTGGACACTCCCACATGGCTGACCATGGTTCAAGTCCTGGACCTGGTAGCTCACTTTCTCACTTTCCCTCTCTCTCTGTCTCTCTCTCTCTGGTCAAATTAAAATAAGTGAATGAGGGAACCAGCAGTTAGCGTAATGGCTATGTCACTGGACTCCCACGTAGTCGACCATGGTTCGCGTCCCAGACCCGGTGGCTTAGAACTCACGCCGGGCGCGTGTGCGTGCGTGCCCAAGATCCCAAGAGGAGAATAGAGGAGAAGGGATTGCGGCGTGACCATCCCTCCTGGGGGGCGATTTCTCACTTTCTGTCTCTATGTCTCTCTCTGTCTGTCTGGTGAGTGCACGTGCCCTATAGCGATAGCCTCTCCAAAAAAAAAAAAAGTGAATGAAAGAATAAAGTTAAATAAAATATATCTAAATAAATAAATAAAGATTGAGACTAGTTAACATGTACAAAGCAATTATGGCCCCAAAAGCGGAGTAGGTGGGGCCAGCAGGGGGTGTGGCGGTTAAGGAGACTGGGTCCCACAAGGCCCACCGTGCAGTCCGGCGACAGGGTGGGTGCCTGTGGGTGCTAAATCCTGAGAGGAGACAGAGTGGGCACTGCGGTGTGGCCACCCCCACGAGGCATGGTTTCTCACTTTCCCTGCGCCCCCCCGGGGGGGGGGCGGGGGGGGGGGGGGGCAGAAAAACAGCAAGGGAGGGAGGGAGGGAGGGAGGAAAGAAGGGAGGAAAAGAAGAAAGCCGATAGAGGGAGAGTCAGAGAGATAGTCAGAGGCTAGCGATAGACAGAGACAGCCACGGGGAGACTGAGACGGGAAGGAAAGAGACAGGGCCCCGAGAGCCACCGAGATGGGGAAAACGGAGAGGCAAGGAGACCTGGAGACACCGGAGCTTCGTCTGTCACTGCGGCAGGCCTCACCAGCAGGGCGGGCGTCTACACCCACCCCAGGTGACCTCACCCGCCCGCGGCTCTAATCCCATGCCGCCCTGCCCTCGCCTGACCTCTGCCTGCACCTCTGCACTCGCGCCCCTCACGCCGTCACCACCGCCGGCGTCCGGGCTCGCCCCTCCGCGCAGCCCTGCTCCCCGCTCGGCAAAGGGCGCCACCAACCAGCCCAGGCCTCCGCGCGCCCACGGGAGCTCGGAGCACGGTGGGCGCCGGCCGCGCGGTACGGGGCGAAGGCCTCGCGGAGGCCGCTCCCGGAGGCCCCCTGCCTTAGCCCGGCGCCCTCGCTCCCGGAGTCCCCCATGCTTTCCCCTTGCCCAGGCGGACGCCGAGCTCTGAGCGCGCAGCCGCCCCAGGTCCCAAGACTCGTTCTCCCCTCCCGGGACGTGGACTGTCGCCACCTCCCACACCCCGGGTCCCCTGCGTCCGGCTCACCCCTCCACCACCGCCCTCCACGAGGGATGTTTGGTAGAAGTAATTAAGATCACGTCACTCCTAATTTGGGGCTTACAGAAAACCCGAACTGCTCGCCGCAGGCGGGCTCGCCGCAGGCGGGGCCTGCCCCCCTCGCGCCTCGCCCTCTGCAGCCGCAGGGCCTCGCGGCTCAGCCTGGCACCCCGCTCTCCGCGCCCCGTCCGCCTTCCGGACCTCGCTTAAATGTCCCCTCTGAGGCTGCCCGCCCGCCACCCCGCTCGCTGGTCCCTGTGGATTTTCTCTGCCGGTGCCTCCCCGCAGGACGTGGCCCCAGGAGCGCGTCCCCTCCCCGCGGGAGCCCGCAGCACGGTAGGTGCCAGTTGCTCGCCCTGGGGACGGCCTTGCTGGGCCCCACTGCCTGCGCGTCCCCGTGAGCTCTTCCAGTCCACCCTGGGAGTGAGGAGCGATGGCTTCCGGATTTCGCAGACGGGAAAACAGGAGGCCCCAGGTGGGGTGGGGGCAGGCACCTGCCCCAGGTTCCGGAGGTGCAGAGTGCCGGCTGGATTCGAACCCAGGAAGTTTGCAGGAAACGCGCAGAAATGGAGCCAGAAAGAGAGAGAGAAGGGGGTGTTTAATAAACGCGTGAGTAAGAGGAAAAAATGGGAGCGAGACCAAGAGAGAATGAGGGAGCAGTAGAGGGGACCGAGAGCCAGGCGCGGCTGTAAGGAGAGGACAGGACAGCAGGGGCTGGCCGGGCCGGCGCACAAGGCTGGACTCCCGCGTGGCCCACTGCCCTTCCAGTCCCCACCTGGCGGCCTGCCTTCTTACTCTCTCTCTCTCTGTCTCTCTCTGGTGAGTGCACGTGCCCTGTACCAATTACTTTTTTAAAATAATAAATAAAATTAAATAAGTCTAAGGAAAAAAAGAAACCCATGAGAGAGGTTTTCTGAATGAGAGTGTGGGGCCAGCAGATGGCATAGTGGTTAAGGTGCTGGACCCCCACATGACTGATCGCAGTTCAAGTCCTGGACCCAGCAGCTTGAAACTCATGCCAGGCGTGTGTGTACATGTGCCCAAAATCTGACCGGAGAGTGGAGGAGAAGGGGACCACGGCATCCGCACCCCCTGTGGGGGCGATTTCTCACTTTGTCTCTCTGTCTCTCCAGCAAGTGCACGCATCTATAGCAAATGGAATGAGACACAGAACATGAGAGAGACAGAGACTACAAGAGAAGGAGAGATACAGGCAAAGAGGAAGCAGAGAGAGGCCTGAGAGGGCTGGAGGAGTGGGGCCTAGACGGGGCAGGGCTCGTCCCTGGCCCAGGTCGCTGTCCCCAGCCCAGCCCTCTGAGAGTGGAGCTGGAGACCCCTGGCCCTGGAATGCATCTCCAACCTGGCCAGCCAGGCTGAGTGCTGAAGCTCATAGCCCCACACCGCAGGTGGCAGCAGAACTTGGAACTCGACTCCGGACTCCGAGGGACAAGGGATGGTCTCCAGAGCCCAGCGGTGGGCGTGGCCAGGTAAGGGGTCTGGTGGCCTCACTTAAGTGCCTGCAGTCCTGGGTGGCTGTAGGTCTCTCACTCTCTCTAGTTAAGGAGTGTCTCTCCAATACTCTCTGCCTTCCTTAGCCCCTCTGTTTCTCAGCACGTCTCTGACTCGTATGTCTCTGAGTAAATAGCTGCTGCTCTGTCTCTGGGCCTCCCATCTGGCCTGAGAGGCCGTGTCTCCACCCCTATCTCTCCCTGTCCAGATGCCTGGATGCTTTCTATCGAGCACCCCACTTTCCCCCTTTTCCCACTCCATCTTTTCTCCCAGTGTCTCTGTTTCTCTAGCTTCTGGGCCCCAGGGGAGGGAAGGATGGACGGTAAAGATTACTGCCTGCCACATAACCTGGGGAGGACCAGGGGAGCGGGGTAGAGGCGGAGAGGGACAGGGGGCTGGGCTGAGAGCCCCTGTCCTCACAGGCGCTGACACAATGGCCGCAGCAAGAAAGCCCTGGGGCTGGCTCCTGGGGTACCTCGTCCTTGGTGTCACAGGTATGGTGCGTGACTGTGTGCCAGGACAGCCTGAGGTCAGGACAAGCTGGTGTCCTCCCCTAACGCCCCTGTGAAAGTAGAACGTGCCGGGTCCTCACCTGAGCCCGGTCCTGGCGACTGTAACTCCCGTTCAGTCGGCGTGACAGCGGGACCGTGAGACTGTGTTAGCGGTGAATGGCCGACAGTTTGTGCCTCTGACTACCAGGAGTGTCGGTGCGGGGGTGCGTGGGGACAGGGGAAGCCGAGGGTGCCGATAAAGGGGAGCTTGCGGGAGGCCCCATTGCTGGGAATCTGGGCCTGCGCCAGGGACTTCAGCCCTCGGACCGGGAGTCCCTGGCGGGGACAGGATGGCGGTGCTGCTCTGCTGTGGCCGCGGGCGAGGCCGCCGTCCTCCCCCCCTCGTGCGGGGACTGCGCCTGGCACGGCGCTCGAGCGTCACAGGCAAGGATGGTGCGGGTCCTGGAATGGATCTGCGGCTAGAGCCGAAGTCCTCCTCCGGACCCGCGAGCCCCCCGGGGTCCCCCTCCAC